AGGATTTAAAAACAAACAAACAGCCCTGGCCAGTTTGGCTCAGTGGTTAGAGTGTTGGCCCATGGACCAGAGAGACCCGGGTTCGGTTCCCGCTAAGGGCATGTACCTCGGTTGCAGTTTGTCCCCAGCCCTGGTTGGGGTCGTGTGGGTGGCAGCCAGTCGCTGTGTCTCTCTCGCATCGATGTTTCTCTCTCTCTCTGTCTTCCCACCTCTCTCCCTACAGTTCTATCTGAAGATAAATGCAAAAATGTCCTCAGGTGAGGATGAAAGACAAACAAACAAGAGCATCCTTGGTTTGTCGATCAGGGGCCATGGGGCAGGCGGTGGGACTTACCTGGTGGGGCCTCACACAGGGCCCACCACAGGGCAGGATTAGCACACGAGAAACAGAAATATCGGTGAGGTTAACACTGGATCTCTGCAATTCCTGGGGTCTTGATGGAGTCATACGCAACCTAATGCTTTTCGGTCACTTGCTGCAAGAAATGCTGTGGAGACTAGAGTGGGGGTCGGTTCTGACAGAAGATGAATTAGGAGCATGTGTCAGGGGGAGGAGCTGGACTCCTGCGATGGAGGTTTAACCAGGCTCTGCACCCTGATGAGCCCTGTCCTGGGCACGGTTACTTCCGTGTCTATTACAAGGAATCACGTCGCCTGTTGCTTTGAAGGTGCTTCTGTGAAGTGGGCCTTGTTTCTCTGGTCCTTTCGTGCTGGGAAAGATAAAACAGATGGAAACTCACCTGCGTGCCTCGGATCGAACTCATCACGGCACTTTCACTGTTGAACAAACGCACGGTTAACAGCAGTTACTCCTTTGGGACATCCCGATCCAACTGGGAGGTCGTGACCTCTGCTGTCAGTCAGGACCCTGGAATCAGAAGGTGACCTTACCCCTGGGCAACTTGTTCCATTGATCAGTGTTTTGCATGAATCCTGCACACCACCCACTGGGGATCAGGCCCACAACCTGGGCCTGTGCCCTGACCAGGAATCGAACCAGCGACCTCTTGGTGCAGGTCGATGCTCAACCACTGGGCCACACAGCCGGGCATGTGATACTGTATTTCAACTGCCCGGTCTAAATTATAATCACTTGGAGGTTAGTTTATTTTCTGAGGTCAACCCAACCAAAATGGTTAGTCCATTTAAAGATGTGTCTCTCCTGAGAGGGCTCATAATCTTGCTCTCTGGACTAATGAATTAAAGCCCCACAGAGCCTTCTCACTTTATTTCTTTATTTCTGCCTCGTCCCGGGAAGGCCAGTGTCACTCATTAGAAGGAAGAGACACCGACACCCTCATGTGGCCATTCACACAAGTGCTTGTCCAGAGAGCGGGGCTCTGGCTGCTCTGCCACACCACCGGGCAGGACACCGCACCACCGGGCAGGACGCCGCACCACCGGGCAGGACGCCACACCACTGAGCAGGATGCCGCACCACCGGGCAGCCGTTGGGGCAGGCAGGACGCTGCACCACCGGGCAGGATGCCACACCACTGAGCAGCCGTCCGGGCGGGTGGCGCCCTGGGGTTGGCAGTGCTGGAGGCCATGTCCTCGCTGAACAAGCAGCCTTCAGGTTCCCAAGTTCCGTTTGCCTGTTTTCATCTTCCCTTGAGTGCATCCGGGTTGGGTAACAACGCTTCCTAGTCGCTGAATTGTGGGGTGCATTCTACCTTGTTAACGACCAGGGCTGTGCGCTCCGAGATGGTCTTGGGCAGGAACAAACCCTTCCTGCTGCTCACATGGACGGTCAATGCTGAGCTAGGGTCAGTGCCTGTTACTGGAATTAGGAGAATCGCACTCCTGAACCTCAGCGCCTTCTTGGACGGTGGCTCTTGGCCAGCGGTGACACTTCCTGGGCTGACTGTCTAACAGAGGTTGTGTCCTGCATCTGAAAGGCTGCACCTTTTGCCCTGGCCAGTTTGGCTCAGCAGTCAGAGCCTCAGCCCACAGACCAAAGGGTCACGGGTTTGATTCCTGGTCAAGGGCACATGCCTGGGTTGCAGGTTCAATCCCCAGGCCCAGTCAGGGTCAGGAGGCAACTGACCAATGCGTCTCTCTCACATTGATGTTTTTCTGTCTCTCTCCCTCCCTCCCTTCCACTCTCTAAAAATCAGTGGAAAAACATCCTTGGGTGAGAATTACCGAAAAATAATAATAATAATAATAAAGAAATAAAAGGCTGTTCCTTTTTAGGTAGGTATTTAAATTTCCATTAAAATGATTATTTTTAGGTGAATTTAAATGTGAACTGAAATTCTACTCTGGACAACCCACTCTCGGCGGGCCCGGCAGGCTGTCCGCAGTCCCGGGAGCCTCCCCTGCCGGCCACAGGGCAGGTGCGCTGCATGCAGTCAGTCTGCCGTGGAGGGGTTCAGCTTCGTTAAACGGCTCTAGTTCAATCGTTAAGTTCGTGGCTTGTTATAAGATAAGCAATTACGAGGGAATGCAAGTACTATGTGAACAGATACATGAATATAGTTTTAATGTAACGTTCTTAATTTTTAAACGTATGTTATTTAACAATGGGGGTGTTTGACAGTTGGCTCTCAAAGTTCCTGAACTCAGCCCCACTGTGGTGAGGGGGGCACTAAGCCAGTCACAGGCTCAAGGGACTTCCTGGGGTCACCTTTCTGTCCACCCCCCCCCCCAGGTGTCCTGATATCTTCTCCTGGAATCCGAGCACAGGTTGGGCCTTCCAGCCCTCTGTGTTGTCTGTCCCCAAGTGTAATGGGACACCCCTAGTTCCCAAGATCTCCAGGCGGCCCCCCCACATCACCCCAGCTTTATCTGGGACTGGCAGCCAGATACACCAGATGACCCCATGTTGCCAGGGAGGCGGCCTGCTCCTGGGGTCTGCTCACGTGACGTGTGGGTCCCTGAGCATCATGGGGGCTGGCGGTACCGGCTCAGGGTCCAGACAAGGTTGCCACTCCTTGGGGAGAGTCGAGGTCCTGGACTCACGGGAGAGGCAGGCACGGCACCCCAAGGAGGGTGTATGTCACTGGACACACGGCCCTAGTTTGAATGAACAAGTTTCCAATAAAGTCGAGGTTCCACAGAAGAACCCGTTTCTAGCTCCTCCAGAGAGGTTAGGTCCTGCCAGACACGCGTTACAGCCGTGAAGACAGAAGCAGCCCAGGGGTCCACCCACGGAGGGAGGAGTTTCGGGCAGAACTGCCGTGAGTGCAGAGGGCAGAGGGACATGGCACAGGCCCTTCGTGAGGTCACGGGGGTGACGTCCCAGGGCCCCTGGGGTCAGAGCAGTTCCAGGCGGGGCCGGTGTCCTAACGGGGCAGAGGGCCTTCGGCCGGTTCGTCCTAAATGCTGCCCATGGCTGCAGGGGGCATGCTGACTAGATACCCACCCAGTGTGTACGAAGATCCGGGACTCAACCCCCAGTTAGAAGCAGACAGGAAGAGGAGGGTGGGGGGGCCTCGAGGGGCCAGCTGGCCGGCGCCAGACCAACACCCTGAGCCCCGTTTTCCCCAGGCTGTTGTAGAACCTGCTTCAGACGAGGGTCCAGCACAGGTGGCGGGTGACGGAGATGGAGGCTGGGTGGGAGGGGGAGTCTCGCTTAGATGCTCCCAGGGCACGAGCCAGGTGGCAGTCCTTCAGAAGGGCGTGGCGGACGTGCCGAGAGCCCGTGTGGCCACTTTCGCTGCCAGGCCTCCAGCGGCGGGGACTGAGGTGTGCGTCCGCCTGCCGAGACCCGTGGGCGACAGGCACATGGACGTCCGGGTGGCGGCTGGCCGCAGGCCCCGCGTTCAGACGACTCACAGCCTTCCACGCTGTCAGCAAACACGCTTGAGTGCCCCAGGCGCAGCTGCCTGGGCCTCCTGGCCTCACGTGGCTGTGGTCACGGCAGAAGTGCGGAGAATGTGCCTCAGTGAGGCCAGGACAGAAGGGGTGTGGGGGGCAGCGGCTCCTCTGGCCCGAGGGCGAGTCTGAGCTCCAGCACGAGAAAGCCCCGGGCAAGGCGATGAAGGCAGAGGACAGGTCCTGTGCAAAGGCCCTGTGGTGGGTCCCTGTGAGTGCTGAGAACCCGTGGGCGTGAGCAGTGGGCACAGAGGAGGCGGGGCCACGCCACCTGGAACACCTTGTCCACGTGGGCCGTGGGCTGCCTCCTGGCAAGAGGACTCCAGGGCAGGTGGGGTCACTAGAGCCAGTCCCTGCCTGTGACAGAGGGGGCTGCAGAGGCCTCGAGAGGGGCTGGCAAGAAGGTGGCCGTGCAAGGGGCCATCTAGGAGGAGAAGGGGCTCGGCACCAGGCCAGAAGACAGATGGGGTGCTGAGTGGATGTGTCAGGGTGTGGCCTGGAGGTGACCTTTCCTTGGTCTCTGGCTGAGGAGACGGAGACATTGGAGAGGGGAGCCCCACAGAGTTCAACTGAGCCCGGCCATCTGCCCTGGACAGCAGCCTGAGGCCTGGGGGTGGACATGCAGGCCAGGGGCAGGCCAGGGCCTGCAGGGACGTGTCAGTGAGCCACCACTCTCAACTCGCGGTGCTGAGACCGTGAAAGGACCTGGCACAGGACACGGTGAGCTTGTGTTGTCTGCGCCCCACCGTCGGCTGTGCAGGCAGCCGGTCAGGTGTCTGCTTTCCAAGCTCCTGGCCACTGACTCCAACTCCCAGCTGCTCTCGCTCACTAACCCAGAGTGAGGCTGCACCGGGCCGAAGCGGGGGGCCTCGCCGTCCAGGGGTTCCCAGGGCTCCTGCATCGGGCAGCTGGACGTCGGGTGCTGGGGTGAAGCCCACAGGGGCGGCACTCCTCAGAGATGCTGTTGGGAGGGGCCCTTGGGTCTGTGTCCCCGGGCCCTGTGGGCAGATGCATGTGCAGGCGTGTCCCAGGTATGACAGTTCGTGCCCAGGTGCTGCTGTGGTCAGACAGGGGTGTGGGTGTAAACACGGGCCCACAGGTGTGCCCCTCCCCCAGGTGCTGCTGTGGTCAGACAGGGGTGTGGGTGTGAACACAGGCCCATGGGTGTGCCCCTCCCCCAGGTGCTGCTGTGGTCGGCCAACAAGGTGTTCGAGGAGCTCACAGACATCGAGAGGCAGTTTCACAAGGCCTTCTACACGGTGCGGGCCTATCTGAACTGTGACCGGTACTCGGTGGGCCTCCTGGACATGACCAAGGAGAAGGTGAGCACTGAGCTCTCCCGGGGGTCCTGCCAGCCGGCCCCACTCGGTACTGACGCGCCACCTCTCCCTCTCCTCTGCCCAGGAATTCTTTGATGTGTGGCCTGTTCTGATGGGAGAAGCCCAGCCGTACTCGGGCCCACGCACGCCCGACGGCCGCGTGAGTCCCGGCGGGGGCAGGCCAGCCCACATACCTGTTCCCAAGCTCCAACTCCAGGGCAGCGAGGGGCCCGTCCCAGCCCACCCAGGAGATGGGGGGAGCCCGGCACGAACGCCTCGTCTCCCGGGGGTTTCCGACGGGGTGCTGGTCTGGAGCCCTCGTGACTGTCGTCGTCTGTTCTCAGGAAGTTCTCTTCTACAAGGTCATCGACTACATTCTTCACGGCAAGGAGGACATCAAGGTCATCCCGTGAGTGCGGCGTCCCCAGAAGCGTCGCCTGTGGAGATGAGGGCTCCCTGTGCTGTGGCCCACTCGGGGGTGGGGCGGGCGGCGGACTCGCTGATCTGGGAGAAAATGGATGCTGGTTGGGGGGGTTGGTGACGGCCTAAGACACTATGAATATCCACAGCGACGTCCAGGTGGTCAGGTGAGCTGTCCAGTGGCTCTGTCAGCAGCAACTGACCTTGGGTCTCATCTTGGCTCACCAGCCCCCCGGCAGGTGGAGACCCTGGACGGGGAGCACTGACATTGTGTACCCGGTGGGATGGGACAGGAGGGGGTGTCCAGTCCAACGAGCAGCACAGCCGGCAGAGCTCAGGGCGAGGCCCCAATCTAGAGAGACGGGTGCCAGCCCTCTCGCCTCATGGCCCCAGGCCCCACGGACCTGTCAGGAGCCCCCCCCCCCCCCCCCCCCGCCTCCAGCCCCATGCGGGGACTGGGATCCATAGATCAGGGCCAGGCCCACAGGCAGGGGACCAACACTCAGCTCCAGAGGCCGGAATGTGGGGAAGGGGTTCCTATAGCGCTCAGTGTGGGCAGAGGAGGAGAAATGAGGGGGCACAGATGCCCCTCCCCCACCCCACCCCCACAATCCCTGTCCCAGCCAGAGCACAGAGAGTGGAACAAACATGAACACACACCTCACAGGCCAGGCATCTGTCCGTCTGACCCTCTGCTTTCTCCCCAGCACACCTCCGGCCGACCACTGGGCCCTGGCCAGCGGCCTCCCAACCTACGTGGCAGAAAGCGGCTTTGTGAGTCCCTGAGGCCCTCACCCGGCCTCCCAGCAACCCACCCCGGCTCCCTGGGCCCCGCTTTGCCTCCGCAGAAGCTCCCCGGGCCGGACGGTCATTGTCAGAATCGTGTCGTCCGTGTGGCCACTTCGGCTGAATTTGTTCTCTGGTCCTTTTCAGATCTGTAACATCATGAACGCCCCTGCAGACGAAATGTTCCAATTCCAGGTATCTGTGTGTTGCTAGAAGGTGAACCGCACTAGGGAAACAAGGCCCTGTGGTCGGAAATGGTCTGAACTGGTTTTCGCTGCTTGAGAAACCACCTCAGAGTCCCCGTGACAGACGGCAGCACACACACGTGCCAGGCCCACAGGGCTGTGGGTTCGCTGGCACAGCTGGACCCAGCAAGAGTCCAGTCTGCTCCCCACACCTTCCCCTGGGGACACACGGCCAGGGCTCTTTTCTGGAGGGGCGGGGGGTCACGTGTGCCAGCAGAAGGGGGCTCTGAAGTCGAGGGCTCCTCCAGGAACTGGCCACTGTTCATAGCCCACTGGCCAGGCAGCAGGGTCCTGGAGGAAGGACCAGCTGCATGGTCCGTGGGGTGTGAGACCCTGGAGGGGGGCCCTGTGCGACCGGAGCACTAACCGGGTGAAGCTGCCCTGGCAGGGGAGGGACTGAACAGACCCCAGAGGAACAATGACCGGTCCCTACGGTGTGAGGGGCCAGAGTCAGACCCCAAGCAGCGGTCACCTCTGCCTGTCCCTGCAGAAAGGCCCCCTGGATGACTCTGGGTGGGTCATCAAGAATGTCCTGTCCATGCCCATCGTCAACAAAAAGGAGGAGATTGTGGGGGTCGCCACGTTTTACAACAGGAAAGACGGGAAGCCTTTCGATGAGCAGGACGAAGTCCTCATGGAGGTACGCACCTGTCGGGGTGCAGCCTGGGGGACACGCCGTCTTCTCGCCCTTGAGCCCGCACTGGCCCAGCGTGGACACAGGCAGGGGCCGCTCGCCAACAGGCGTCCTGCAGGCCCCCGGAGGGACTCGAGCAATGGGCCGCACGCCGGCCGCGGGTGCGCGCAGGTGGGTGATGCGCTGCTCCATCCACAGTCCCTCACGCAGTTCCTGGGCTGGTCGGTGCTGAACACCGACACCCACGACAAGATGAACAAGCTGGAGAACCGCAAGGACATCGCCCAGGACATGGTGCTGTACCATGTGAGATGCGACAAGGAAGAGATCCAACTGATCCTGGTACGGCCCCCACGCCTCCTGGGCCCCCCCGCCCCCCGGGGACGCGCAGCCTGGGAGCAGTGGCCATGCTGGAGTCTCTCAGGCTCTGCACGGCCTGCAGCAGGAAGCTCCGCCCGGGGCTCCTGCAGGGGCCTTTACTCTTCCGCACCTTGTCCCCACTCGCGAGGGCTGCAGCGGACGCAGTCACCGTCTCACAACACACTGGTCTTGTCTCCCAGCCCACGCGAGAACACCTGGGGAAGGAGCCCGCTGACTGTGAGGAGGAGGAGCTGAGGGGAATCTTGGTCAGAATCTGACCCCTGAGGTGGAGGCTGGGAGGGCCTGAGGGCAGGGCAGGTTTCCTCGTTCCCAGGGGCCGGTGTGCTGCAGCGGGTCATCCCGGGTGCCCATCCTGTGTCTGTCTATCTCCCCCGTGTGCATCTGTGCGTCTGTTTCCCTGACAACGTCACTGTGTCTGCCCAGTGAGGCAAGTCCTCGTTGGGGTGAGGCTGTGAGGAGAGGGGAAGAAGCGGCCGAGCCCTCGGGGATTCGTGCACCAGGCTACAGGCCAGAGCAACGGGCAGGGGAGGTGTCGCCAGACAGCTGGGCCCCTGGACAGAGGGTCTTGGGAGGAGAAGACGTGAGGAACCAGTGGGGTGGGTGGCCTGCCGCCCTCAGCCCCACAGTCCCTCCCACAGAAGGAAGTGCTGCCAGGGCCCACCAAGTTCGACATCTACGAGTTCCACTTCTCTGACCTGGAGTGCACGGAGCTCGAGCTGGTCAAGTGCGGCATCCAGATGTACTACGAGCTGGGCGTGGTCAGGAAGTTCCAGGTGCCCCAGGAGGTGAGGCTGTGGTCGGGGTCCCAGGTGCCCAGGAGGTGAGGCTGTGGTCGGGGTCCCAGGTGCCCAGGAGGTGAGGCTGTGGTCGGGGTCCCAGGTGCCCCAGGAGGTGAGGCTGTGCTCGGGGTCCCAGGTGCCCAGGAGGTGAGGCTGTGCTCAGGGGTCCCAGGTGCCCAGAGGTGAGGCTGTGGTCGGGGTCCCAGGTGCCCAGGAGGTGAGGCTGTGCTCGGGGTCCCAGGTGCCCAGGAGGTGAGGCTGTGCTCAGGGGTCCCAGGTGCCCAGAGGTGAGGCTGTGGTCGGGGGTCCCAGGTGCCCAGGGGGTGAGGCTGTGGTCGGGGTCCCAGGTGCCCCGGAGGTGAGGCTGTGGTCGGGGTCCCAGGTGCCCCAGGAGGTGAGGCTGTGGTCGGGGTCCCAGGTGCCCAGGAGGTGAGGCTGTGGTCGGGGTCCCAGGTGCCCCAGGAGGTGAGGCTGTGCTCGGGGTCCCAGGTGCCCAGGAGGTGAGGCTGTGCTCAGGGGTCCCAGGTGCCCAGAGGTGAGGCTGTGCTCGGGGGTCCCAGGTGCCCAGGGGGTGAGGCTGTGGTCGGGGTCCCAGGTGCCCCGGAGGTGAGGCTGTGGTCGGGGTCCCAGGTGCCCAGGGGGTGAGGCTGTGGTCGGGGTCCCAGGTGCCCAGGAGGTGAGGCTGTGGTCGGGGTCCCAGGTGCCCCGGAGGTGAGGCTGTGCTCGGAGTCCCGGGTGCCCCAGGAGGTGAGGCTGTGCTCGGGGTCCCGGGTGCCCCGGAGGTGAGGCTGTGCTCAGGGTCCCGGGTGCCCAGGAGGTGAGGCTGTGCTCAGGGGTCCCGGGTGCCCCAGAGGTGAGGCTGTGGTCGGGGTCCCGGGTCCTGCCTGAGGTCTGGGGCAGGCATGTCCGTTGCAGAATGAGCAGTGCAGGCACAACCAGGCAGTGAGTAGGCCTGGAGTCACGACCGCACAGGGGATGACAGGCTGATGGGTGGGGAGTTTGGTAAACAGGAGTCTGGGCGACCTCACCATCAGGGGCATCACGGGGCACCAGTGGGGGCCTGGCGTGGGGGCCTGGCGTGGGGCGGAGCAGGAACAGAAGCAGCCCAGCACCTGTGCGGAAGGTACAGGCCATCCTCTGTGCTGGCACACGGGCCCTGGACATGGGGTGAAGGGCAGCCCCCCACTGCCACAGCTCTGCACGCTCGGTGTCCCCTTCACACCTGAGGGACCGTCTTTCCTCGTGCCCCCGACATCAGGGCTGCAGGCGGCATTTTCAGAAGGCATTTTACTGAATACTAAAGGAAAAGAAAAAAGGAAAAAATTACAGAAAATATTGACAGAAAAAAAAAGTATTTCCAAATAATTTTCTGGCCCTAAAGATCACAGAAAGATAAAGGCTCCCCTGGACCCACATTCTGTTGACCAGAGACAAACGCCCTGCACCCCCACCCCACCCCCACCCCGCCTCTGCGGCTCAGGACCTTCAGCCCCCCCTCAGGTCCCCTCACCCAGCCAGGTGTCCCTGCATCTTGCCCACTCAAGTGCCCATGCGGAAAACAGACCTTTTCTTCTGAAATACCCCAGACGCCTGCCTGGGGTTCTCTTCCTAATCTGGGGCTGGGAGACAGGACGGAGACCCCGGAAGCCCCCTGAGTGCTGGAGCCCCCCTGGGTTGGCACCGGCCGCTCGGGCTACAGGCGGAAGCCAAGAGGAGGGCGCGCGGGAACCCCGCGGGGCACCCCGCGAGGCACGTGTTGGCGGCACTGACGTCTCCTGCCCTCCGCAGGTCCTGGTGCGGTTCCTGTTCTCCGTGAGCAAAGGGTACCGGAGGATCACCTACCACAACTGGCGCCACGGCTTCAACGTGGCCCAGACGATGTTCACGCTGCTCACGGTGCGTGGGCGGGCGGGGCAGAGCACCCCCAGCCCACGCCTGACCAGGGTGTGAGGACCTCCCGGCCCAGGCGCCCGAGGGGGCTCCTTCGAGGGCAGCGTGGCTGCGCCCCGGCCGGAAGCAGGCGGAGGGTTGGGAGGGGTCTTGGGTCCCGCCAGCCCCCAGCCTACCCCAGTGCCCAGCGCCCTCATCGGAGCCGTGCCTGGGGCACGGCCAGGGCGCTGGCTGGGCGGAGGACCACGGGCGCTGTCTCCGCAGACGGGGAAGCTGAAGAGCTACTACACGGACCTGGAGGCCTTCGCCATGGTGACGGCCGGCCTGTGCCACGACATCGACCACAGGGGCACCAACAACCTGTACCAGATGAAGTAGGCGCAGGGGCGTGGCTGCCGAGGGGCTGCGGGGCCCGGGGGGGCCCTGCCCGGCCGCTCGGCTTCTGACGCTGCTGCTTCTCCACGCACCGGGGGCAGGTCCCAGAACCCCTTAGCCAAACTGCACGGCTCCTCGATTCTGGAGCGACACCACCTGGAGTTCGGGAAGTTCCTGCTGGCGGAGGAGGTTCGTGCCCTCGCCTGGCTCCTGCCGCCGCTCCCGGCTGAGGACCCCTGCGCCCTGGGCCGCTCTGGGCCGCGTCCGCCCCCGCGGCCTCCTCCCGGGACAGGAGCCCCGACCTCGCGCGAGCCAGAGGGGCGCAGGTCCGGCCAGAGCATGAGATTCGTGTTCCGAAGCCTCCCACGCGGAGGGTGGGCTCCACGCGGAGGGTGGGCTCCGTCCGGAGGGAGGCTACCTGAGCCCAGTGCCCGTGACCGTGGGTAGAAGTCAGCCAGCAACGTGCACACCCCGGGGGGGGGGGCGCGGACCCAGGGCCGCCCTGAGACTGGACCCTCCCGCAGAGCCTCAACATCTACCAGAACCTGAACCGGCGGCAGCACGAGCACGTGATCCGCCTCATGGACATCGCCATCATCGCCACGGACCTGGCGCTGTACTTCAAGTGGGCACCCCGGGGCTCAGAGGCCGAGGGGGAGCCCTGGCATGGGGAGCCGGGAAGACCCCCGTGGTCCCAGGCGCCTGGACTCCTCGCTTGGCTCCTCACCCGGAAGGGCTGTGGGGTCGGGAACACGCGTGTGGGTGCGGTCCTGCCTGGAATAAGGGGGTCAGGTCGCCTCTCTCCCCTTGTTCTTGGGGTTCAGGAAGAGGACAATGTTCCAGAAGATTGTGGACGAGTCTAAGAACTACACGGACAGGAAGAGCTGGGTGGAGTACCTGTCCCTGGACACAACACGGAAGGAGATAGTCATGTGAGCAGGCGGAGGTGGGGGTCCGGTGACTCCTGCAGCCCTCCAACAGCACCCCGAGACCCAGGTCCCCGAAGGCTCTGCAGCAACAACAGCTCTTCTCTTACTGGCTCTGAGACCTCAAAACAAATGCTCCATCTTGGTCCTCATTTTCAGGGAGACACCGGGTTTGGGGTCAGACGGGCCAGTTCCTTAGTTTGTAGACTTTGCAATAATTAACTCACTTTAGGAGCCTTCGTTCCTTCATTGACAAAGTGGAGGTGTGGGTTCTCCCCCAGGCCTGTCCCAGAAATCCACACGAAGTACCGGTAAATCACCAGCACGTAGAAGGCGCCTGATAACCGCTGCAGACGTCAGTGGTGGTTCCGGGGGAGGGGCAGGAGGCAGGCTGCCCACTTCCGGAAGGACCCACAGTCTCTAGGCTTTGCAGGCGGGAGGGTGCAGGGGTGGGGGCAGAGGGAGGCCAGACTGGGCCTGCCTCCAGCTCCATCTGCTCACAGGGCCATGATGATGACGGCCTGCGACCTGTCTGCCATCACCAAGCCCTGGGAAGTCCAGAGCAAGGTCAGAAGTCACCTGGGCGTGACCTCCCTCCTTTGTGGGACGGCCCCTAGGGGAGCCTGACATGCGGAAGCCCCTTGGTCTGTGCAGTGCTGAGGGCCAGTCTCCAGCGGCTGCTGTGGCGGAAGGTGCCCCGTGCTCGTGTGTCGGGCCAACCCTCCCAGCAGGGCTCCCAGAAAGGCCAGGGTGAAGACTGAGGACCTGCCCCACCGGACAACTGCCCTCTGTGCCCCCAGGTCGCTCTGCTGGTGGCAGCTGAGTTCTGGGAGCAAGGTGACTTGGAAAGGACAGTTCTGGATCAGCAGCCTATTGTGAGTGTTGCTTCCAGAATCTTCTGCCCCTGTCGTGGAGCCTTGAGAGCCTCGGTCCTGGCTCGGTGCAGACGGGAACCCCTGGGATTCTGAAGTCCTGGGGCCTCGGTCTCACCCCGTGGACCATGTGACATGAGCTGGGTTGAGTTTAGGTGTCTCTGGGTCTGGGGAAAGCCCATGCAGAGGTCAAAACTGGTAGAACCAGGCTCCATGAGCCCGGGCAGCTCTGCAGTAAACGCAGCTGGGCCTGCAGCTGCTCCAGGAAGGCCCAGGCAGGACAGGCTCGGCCACAGGGAGAGTGCCCAGCCAGAGAGCCGGGGGCTGGGGCCCAGGGGCCCACACCTTGGAAGGTGGATGATGCTGAGGTCTTCAGGTCACAATGTAGGGTCATGAATATGCTGCTAGACCATGGTGGCCCCTGCATGGGAACAAAGGAACAAGGGCAGCAGCGTGGTGTCCAACCACACAGCTCCTGGGGGAAGGACACAGCCAGCGTGTCCCCTCCAGGCCAGGCCTCTAAGGTTCTGCCTGGCTCACCTCCACCACACTGAGCTCCAGACCACGGGTAACTGCAAAGAAGAGACTGACAGCAGACAGCTTGCTGGGTCCAGAGAGTGTGGACACAAAGGGCAGCGCCTCTGAGCTTACCAGGGGTTTGCCCCACAGGGAGCCTGGGGTCCTGGCTCAGCACCATGGATAGCTCCGGGGAGCTGGACGGAAGGCTGGCTCTCTGGGAGCCTGGGGGATGTGGGACAAGCCAGCACCACAGACGTTGACAGGGATGCCCTGGAACCAGGGCCCAATGGCTCAGAGGGGCATGGGACATCCTGGCCTTTCCCTTCCAAGGGCCAGCATTGTCAGGCAGGCTGAGCCCAGGGCTGGGGGCTCTCCCTTCCTCCGGTGTGTCTCCATGGGCGTGTTCATCCAAGTTGGGTGCGGGGAGGGCATGTCTGGCACACCTGCTCCCGGCCCTTCACTGTGCTCCCTCTTCCCCCACAGCCAATGATGGACCGAAACAAAGCAGCAGAGCTCCCCAAACTGCAGGTTGGCTTCATCGACTTCGTGTGCACCTTTGTGTACAAGGTGAGCGGGCAGTGCAGGGCCTGCTGGGTCATAGGCGGAGGAAGGGGTCGATTGCCCAGTACCGCCCTGGCTCCTGTTCTGCTCCCATATGCACTTAAAATCCAAATCTTCAGTGTCACCCCAAGTCGAGTTCCTCCCGCTCCACCTCGTCTGGTCAGCTCCTCAGCGGCTTTTCCACAGGCCTTCTCCCTCTTGATGTCCCCGCGGGCACCTGGACATCCCACCTCGAAGCCCCTCCCCAAAGCCCACCTGAGGTGCCCCCAGGGCCTGCACGCTGTTCTCGGCCCTGACTGCAGAGTCCAGCCCTCTGCAGTTGACACTTTCTACTCTACCCTTAGGCTCCTTGTTTCCCCTCTATGACGCACGTGTCATAAGCGTTCACGCCCACAGCTCCATCTAATTTCAAGAACACGAACACCACGCCCTTCTCCCTTTTCAGGGCTTTGCTGGGAAATGGTGTCTCGGAGGCCCCTCAGGACCCCCCTCAGAGCAAACCGAGGGCCGAGGCAGGGGGACGTGGCCTGTCCCTTCTGCCCGGGAGCAGTTGGGAGGTCAGCCCACCGTCTCCATTCCCTCTCCAGGAGTTTTCCCGCTTCCACGAGGAGATCTTGCCCATGTTAGAGCGACTGCAGAACAACAGGAAGGAGTGGAAGGCCCTGGCCGACGAGTACGAGGAGAAGGTGAAGGCCCTGGAGGAGGAGAAGAAGAAGCAGGAGGAGAGGACAGCAGCCAAGAAAGGTCTGGGCCATGGGGAGCAGCACACAGTGGGGGGGAGGGGCGCTTGGGTAATCCAGAGTCGGAGTGTGTACAGAGACAGAATTAAACAACAGAACTGAATTTGGAGAAGAGGTAGGTGTCCGCCCTGCGGTTGGCGCTCGTGGGTTCTTCACTGCAGAGGCAGCCGCGGGGGAAGGCCTGTCCGCGGAATGGGCCCTGCTGATTCGGGGTAGCTCACAAGCCTGGACAGAAAGGGTCTCCTCCTGGTCCTAGCAGGGGAACTCATTTTCTCCAAGGAAGTAATAGTTGAGTGTCACTTCCTTTATGAAGGGGAGCAAAGCCTCACTGAAATATCCTAAACTCTTCACCGATCTTTTGTTCAAAGAACAGTTCCCTCCTGAGTAACTCAGAAAATCCACCTGTACGTACACACACACACACACACACACACACAGGAAAATAAGAGCCAGGAGTCAGGTGTGCATGACACCTCCCTGCACTGTGTCTGGAGCGCTTGTTAACTGTTCACCCTATAATACGGGAGCTGCACAGGAGCAGCGATATCCCGACTGGAATCAGTGACCATGCTGCCTTGTGTTCGCCCATGCTCGGCCCCGTCAGCTCTGGGGAGGGAACCAGCATAAACAAAATGGTTTCAGGGTTACGGGAGGCCAGGGCTGAAAGTGTCACCAGGGCTAAGGTAAGAAGGGCTGAGCCCCAGCTAATAGGCTTAGGCTGACCACAGCCACCTGGCTCTGCCCTTCCTCCTGCAGGGCTGGTAGAGGACACACAAGCAGAAGGGAGGGAGCCCAGCTGGGGTACATGCAGCTCTCTCTCACCATCTTGTGTCTTCTCTTGCAGTGGGCACAGAAATTTGCAATGGTGGCCCAGCACCCCAGTCCTCAACCTGCTGCATCCTGTGAGCCATTCTGTGGGGTCTGATGGCACCCCCATCCTGCACACCCACTGGGACTCTGCTTCTAGCCACTTGGTACAAGAGGTTAGGAAGCCTAAGAAAATGACTGAAGACAATTTTGGATACTTTGAATTTTTTTAAGGTTTGTGTTTTTATAAACTAAAGCCAACTGCAAATAACAGTGCAGTCTGTCCAACACTCAAAATCACCTGTCTTTGGATAGTCACACCAGAGACCTTGGCAAGCTTGTGGACGTGTCCGAAGCACGGGGTGAGACCGCCTGCACGTGCGTTTGTGTGTATATGGGCAGATGGACGGAGAAGAGATGGTTTCCTAGTTTAGGAAATACATGACCAAAAATATAGAATAAAAACAAGCTGCCCTTGTTTTCTGTGGTGGGAATTGCGGCACAGGGTACACTATGTATGACCAATCAGAAAGTGCTGGCAGGAAGGTCAAAACTGTGAGCAGGGCAGTGGTCAGATTTGAGTGAGCTGTGCAGAAATAATCGTCATGAAGGCTGCTGTGTTGCTGATGGACCCAGACGTGTGGGTGGGTCTTCCTCCCAGCACCGGTGGTCTGCCCAGTCCCCTCCTTTGCAGCTGGGTGTCCTCCTACTGCAGCACCACATGTCTCCAGTGGCTTAATGTCTGAGCCAGGAAGAAAGGCAGTCACCCCCAAACTGGGGAACACAGGACATACGTGAGATGGGTACTAATTACCCAGCAGAAACTAAGGACTTTTAACTCCTAATGTGAGCTCCAAGCATCTGTTCCCGACACGAGATGACAGTTAACCCCACGGGAAACTTCTTCCAGCTCGGGTTTAGGCCAGTTGCTACAAAGCCAGTTCAGATGCCACCCAGGCCCTCCCCACATGCTCCCAGCAGGTACGAGATGGGACGGTGGACACACCCCACACAGCCAGGCCTCACAGGAAGGAGCATTTCAGTTTCCATCCCAGCAGTCAGTGACACCTGGTGAAAAGGTCCTGTGACTGGGGCCCGGGCTCCTCCAGGTTGCGGAGGAACTCCTCGGCCCCAGCTGACAGCTCTAGGCTGGAGCTCACCAACCTCACAGGTGGGCTCATTCAAACAGCACCTGAACCAAAACCAGGACCCTGAAGTGCTGGTATGCTGCACTCCATGTTCTCTTCCGCTTACATGTGAACTCATTTTACAATAAAAGTGGGTGAGAGAAAGCAGAACCTGGCTTTCCTCTCAGGTCCCAGAACCCAAGCCCTCCCCTATCCACCTTCTCAGGCCACACCCCTCCCTGAGGTCAAGGGGAGGATTCGTGCAGGGGGCTGAAGATCCACCTCTCAACTGTAAGGGCATCAGCCCCACCTACATTTGCACTGCAGGCCCCCCCCCCCCCTCCCCAGTGCAATCAGGGCCCGGGCCAGGGCTCAGACGACTGAAGGTCAAACACCACCACAATGACAGTCCAGCTATGTCTCCCTTACAAACTGCACCCTTTGGGGCTCCCACCTGGCTGCCCCAGAGAACAGGTGACAGAGTTCCTGTGCTCCCCCCCCCCCCATATCTTGCGTCTGTGGTGAACGATAATTCTTCTGAAACCCCGTCCACCCCCACCGGACACAAACAGGATGAAGGGACAACCAGGGCGTCACACAACACAGAAAGCTTTATTCATGCACACTGCTCGGAGGCAGGCTCACTTCAGTATGCTGTCATCTCGGGCTGCAAGGTTAGAAAAGAAACGTAGTTATTACCCGCTCAAGCAACTCAAACGGAGCACTTCAGATTCTTGGTGTTACACACTCCGCATCTAGCCCCAGGGAAGCCCAACTAGGCTCGGCTCAAACCAGCCCGCGGTGGTCCTTATCCCTGCACAGCAGAGGGCGGGTGTGCGGTGCTGGCCCGGGCCTCTCCGAGGGAGGCCTGGCGCTCACCAAGGCAGGTGTCCCATGTCCCCCCAGAACACCCACTGGGCCAGCGCTGGGTGGAAGGAGGGGCCCCTCCCCCCACCCGCAGCCACTTGGAGCAGATGGTCGGTCCTGAACGTCTGGGTGGGGTACAAGTGGGTAAGATCCGCGAACACCTGTACCTTCTGCCAGTTCTCTCTCAATCCGCTTCAGCTCATCCTGCTTCTTCTTCTCTTCGGCCGCTATTCTCCTCTCCTCCTCCGCCCGGGGTTTCAGGTAACCTGTTCAGGGACGGCGGGAACGGGGTGCTTCCTCACTGCGACTCCTCATCAACGCAGGGCCGCCCACACACAGTGTCCCCTTCGGGCGCGCGGTGAACCCGCGGACCTGCAGGTCACCCCTCCGGAGGCCGCGCCCCGGGGCCTCGGCTCAGACCCAGCCGCCCCGCAACGCGCTGGGCTCCCCGCCCAGCGGCCCCGAGTCGGCCCGCACCTGCCCGGCCCCCCGCGGGGCCCCACCCGTGTCCGCGGTCACTCACTGTAGCGCTTGGCTCCGTAGGCCACGCCGAGGAACAGGGCGGAGTAGCGGCCGAGCTGCGGGGACAGGGCGGCGGGGCGGCGGATGAGACGGGCGCCCGAACGAGAGCGCGGGCAGGGGGCGGGGGGACGCGGCCGCAGCGCGGGGTCGGGGGGCGGGGGGCCGGGGCCGCACGGCGGGGGCTGAGGAGCGGGGGGCCGGGGCCGGGGCTGGGGGGCGGGGGGCCGGGGCCGCAGGCGGGGGGCCGGGGCCGCACGGCGGGGGCTGGGGGCTGGGGGACGCGACTGCAGCGCGGGGTCGGGGAGCGGGGGGCCGGGGCCGCACGGCGGGGGCGGGGGCCGGGCTCCGTACGGTCGCACACACGGGAGCCCGCGCGGAGCCGAGCACCGGGAGGCGGCCGCGAACCCTAGTTCACCTTGATGAGCGGAGAAACCTGCACCGGCGGCACCATCTTGTCCGTGACCTCCGCACCGGAAACACAATCCGCCTGACGAGGCCGTCCCAAGGCCCGGAAAGACGGTGGAGTCGATCCAGTGTACCCAGGCGAGCGCATGCGCCATCAGCAACGAGTGGGCGCGGCGCCCCCTGGCGGCCGGAGGGAAACGGCCGGCGTCCGCGCAGGTTGCGTGTGACGTCACAGAGGGGCAGGAGGTCTGCGGGGCACGGCTCGCGACCCGCTGCGCGTGCGCGCTGTGGGCGGAGCGGGGCCGGGGGGGCGCGCGGGACCGGTCGCGGGGCAAGCGGGGCCCGGGGGAAAGCGGGGTCGCGCGGGCGCGGGACTGGGTGGGGCGGGGCGGGAGCGGCCCCTGCGGCCTGCCGTCCCCGGGTGGGGAGCACAGCCGAGGCCCGCGCGCCTTGGGTCCGACATTTGAAAGTTGAAGTCAGGCCGGCGCGCGGCCCTGGCGGGGCCCCTTCGCCGCCGCCCCGGGAGTCCGCACTGAGCGCCGAGAGCAGGCCGGCCCCCTGGGCAGTGGAGGCGGCTGCACCCGCTGGGCTCGCACGGGCGGTGGCCTCGGGCGCCCTCCGGCCATCCCGCATCCGGTCCCCAGCGGGGCTAGAGCTTCCTCATCCCAGAAGCCTCTCTGTGCAGGGGCCTGGGGTGCGCCTGGGAAGAGCCCCCCACCCCCAGCAGAGCCTGCTCCCTGGGTCTCCCCGGCTCCTGCCCGCAGAACCCTGCAGTCCAAGCTCCAGGGTCCACCTCACGCTGGGCCTCAGGGGGCTCTGATCCCCAGACCGCGCGTGCGAAGGAAAGGGTGGCCACGGTCACACCCACAGGGGTTGCCCCCCTCCCCCCGGCTCCGCGGGAAACCTCCCCACTGCCCCCTTGGAGCAGCCCTGTCTCCCCAGGCTGTGCGGTGAGCGCTGCTGAGGCCGCCGCCGGGCCAGACCCAGGGGTGCGGAGGGGCCGCCCGGAGATGGGGCAGCGGTGGCAAGACCTTGGCCGCACGCTGGCACATGGTTCCCGTGGCAACTGGGCATAGGGGCCCCGGGCGCACTGTCCACCCTGGTCCTGTTTTGTGAGAAGCTCCCTGAGGCCCAGGGTTTGGCACTCACTAAGGTCGGTTCTGGGGGTGGGGGTGGGGGAAGCCCACTTCTTACTCCTCACCAAACCCTTGTTTTTGGAAGAGAACTGAACTGAACCTAAAGAACAAAGTGCAGGGCACCGAGGGCTCCGTAATCATTAAGCCTCCGAAGGGGAGGCTGGGAGGACCACCTCCAAGGGGCTGGGCAGAGTGTGCTCCCTCACTTTCTCCACCGCCCTGACTCTAGGCAGTTGGCTGGGAACTCACCTGGGCTGTGTCCCGGGCGGGGGGAGGAACATGGCGATGGGCCCTACAGGGCCTAGGCCCTCTCCTGGGAGGGCCTGGGGCCCAGGGCAGGCCTCCCTGAGCACCCTGAATGCTCCCTGACCCCAGGAGGTAGGAGACGAACCCTTGTGCCAATGTGCTGAGTGCTCACACACAAGCACGCACGCTCTTGCCCTTGAGCAGTTGGGCAGATGACCTCAGGTGACAAACATCTTTATCCTTCCCTGGGTTTTAAAATAAACCAGACTCCTCAGCAACTCCTGCTTCCAGAATCAAAAATAAGAGTCTCTGGGGCCTAGGGTGGGGGACCACATACTAGTAGCTTCCACTGGGCAGAAGGTAGTAACCTGGGAGGACACACAGGCGCACACACCACCACCATCCCAGGAAGACCCCTGAAGCCGGGGGACACCCACCTTGGCCCGGGCCCTTCCTGGGGTCTAGGTGGGGGCTCCACCTGGCTCAGGACAGCAGGACGGCCGCGACTCCCTGCACCTGTCAGGGCCAGCTGTCCATGCCGAATCCCGATATTCTCCCAGGAGCTGGCTCCGAGGCTATCTTTAGTGCTGTGCTCAGACCGTGGCCACTCCAGGAACTCTCCCCAGTGGCTCTGTTGGCTCTTCTGGTCTTCTCCTTCAGGGGCCTCTGAGCACAGATCCCACATGCCTTCCCCTCTGGGTGTGGCACCCCCCACTCCTGCAGCCCAGCCTGGGACCCTTCCAGACCCAGCCAGATCCCACCGAGCTGAGGGCAGCGGAGTCCCTGTTCGACGTGCAGCCCAAGTCCATGTCTCCCACATTAGTCACATGTTCTCTCTCTGGGAGTCCTCTAGGCAGAGCCCCCTGGAAGTCCCCAGGTCCCTGCAGGTGGGTCGTGCCTCCCCAGGTTCCTCACACTCACTTGGTGTGCCCCTGCTACAGTTGCAGCAGAGGCAAAAAAGGTTCAGAGATGTGCCCTCAGGGACACCCCTCCCCCAACTCCCAGCTATCACAACTGTACAGACTCCACATCCCTCATCCCTGCACACGGAGGGCTGCAGCTGCTGCCCCCACCCAAGACCAGGGCATCCAACCTCTGTGGTGACAGGCAGCCATAGGGCCATGGCACAGTGGGAAGAACAGGCTGAGTGCTGGCCCCGGCCAGCCCATCTGGCTCTTCAACCCCTCCTGTGGGCCTGCAGTGGGGACAGGAGGGGTGGCCCCAGGGCCAGGGTTGGGGGCCTGGACCTCTCTGCCACCAAGGCAAGGAAGTAAGGGCACACAGAATATACTTGGGGGACACTTGGTGACTGACCGGTAGGTCCACTTAAAGGGACTTTGTGCAAATCTGGGAAAAACCCTTTTACTTGGTTCCTACAGCCCCTTAGGCCCTCATCCCATAGCAGGTGGCCCAGGAGATGCACAAAATCTGGGACAGCAAGGGCTGCTGGGTAGGGAGCTAGTGGGAGGTTGGGGTCCTTGCTGGTAAGGGCAGGATGGGGGTGTCTGAGTCACTGCTGACTGCCAAAGCTCGGCAGCTGTCCAGTCCCCTGGGTGGGGGGAGGGGGCTGAGCCTGTCCTTGTAGGGAGTGACAGCCAGAGTTCAAGCTGTCCTGGGGGACTGGGCAGGAGCTTAAGACAGACGACCTAAGCAGGGAGGGCACAGACCATCACACCAGGCAGACCCAGCATGGTGAGTGTGCCCCAGGCAGCAGCTGGGCGGAGGCGTGTGTGACTGTGTGTGAGTGCGTGTGCACACAAGGGGAGTCTGGGTACCTGTACGCAGGTGTATTTGTGTTGGTGGCTGGGGACAGGGCAGATCTGTGCCCTGTGACTGCCCCAGTGAGCCTTCCCTGTAGCAGGGACCCCAGAATAAGCCCACCCCCTGCCGGCCACCTGCACAGTCCCATTTGTTCCTTGGACACCCAGCTGGATCCTGGCTGGACTGCAGACCTAGCAGGGCGAAGTTCAAGGTGCACCCTGAGTGCTGTGTGGTCAGGGCGTCTTCAGGGCCCCTGTGCCCACCAAGCACCTGCAGCTGCTCCAGTCTGGGGACCCAGGACCTGGGTACACAGTCCACCCATTCTCTGCATTAAGTCCCCCAAAACGCCTGCTCGGGGGGACTCTCAGCCTCAGTGTTCTCATCTCAGGCCAGCAGGAAGACCAAGAAGAAGGAAGGAGGGGCCCTCCGGGCCCAGAGGGCCTCCTCCAACGTCTTCTCCAACTTTGAGCAGACCCAGATCCAGGAGTTCAAGGAGGTGAGGCTTTGCTCCTATACTGAGAGCCCGGAAGCTCCTGCCCCGGGGGTCCCCTGAGAATCCTTACACAGGTGACCAAGAGATACCGAGCGAGCCTCGCTCCGGAGCCAGTAAGAGTGGGCATCTGTCCTCACACGGGGCGGCCTTGTTCCAGGCCTTCACACTAATGGATCAGAACCGAGATGGCTTCATTGACAAGGAGGACCTGAAAGACACCTACGCCTCCCTGGGTAGGTGCTCGGGCAGAACTCTGTCACAGCCCACCCGGTCCTCAGCCTTAGCGTCTGAGCTGAATCCCACAGGCTGGGGAGAAACCCCTTCTAGTTTGATAGGGGCTGGCCGGGGTGTCACCAGGGCCCACGGGGGAGGGGACAGCCCAGGCAGGAAGGTGGAGGCTGGGGCTAGGTCCCGGAAGGGATGCCACCACCGAGGAGGCAGCAAGAGCCAGAGGCGGGCGCTGCACCCAGCATGCAGCCTGGCACCCAGCCTCCCTCCGCTCCCCATCTGGGGACACGCTTTTTGCAGCCTGAGGGGGTCCTGCTCTTGGAGCTGGGGGAACAGGCTGGTTTCCACCTGTGGGGATTCACCCAGACCTGCCTTCCCTCTGGGCCCCTTATGCCCAGGTAAGCAGGTCACAGACCTTCCCGGTTCCATGTAGCCTCCTCTTCCCCCCCCCCCCGAGCAGTCCACCTCCCTGGGGTTCAGGGTTTGGGGTTCTGCTAACATACAGAACCTGCACCCACCACACTTGGGCCAGGTGTCCCCCCATTTGCTGGCCTCCCTCCCCAGTCTCCCCAGCTTTGTTCTGGGGTTGCCTGGAGAACGACAGGTGGGCAGCCCCGTGGGGCACCTGCCAGTGGGTACAGCACGTGTCAACAAGGATGGGGGCATTCGCAGTGACCCCATGTTTGCAACAGGCAAAACCAACGTCAAGGACGATGAGCTGGACGCCATGCTCAAGGAGGCCTCAGGGCCCATCAACTTCACCATGTTCCTGAACATGTTTGGGGAGAAGCTAACTGGTGAGCCTCCGGCCGTTGGCCAATACAGCATGTGTTTATTTAGAAATCGACATTTCTCATCAAATCCACACTTCCAGATCTCCACAAGCCCTAGGAACTGGCATTCTGGGACCCGCATGTGTGGGCCCCCACACGTCCCGCACCTTCCCTGCGGAGCCTCCTGTTTGCCCGCTGGTGGCCTCCGTCCCCCATGGGCCTGGGTGGGACCCCGAGGACCCTGAGAACAGCTGCCCAGGGCAGGGCCAGCACGTGCCCCGGGCACTCAGCAGCAGGAGCCAGTCGGGCTGAGGACAGAGTGGAGGTGAGGCGACCAGAGCAGGACCGGAGTCTCTGTGGGCAGGTACGGATGCTGAGGAGACCATCCTCAACGCCTTCAAGATGCTGGACCCCGAAGGCAAAGGCAGCATCAACAAGGACTAGTGAGTGTGGCTACAGGGTCTGAGGGACACCAAGCCCACCTCCCCCAGCCTCCAAGGTAACAGGGTAAACCACTCCTGCCCACACGGCCCAGCACTAGGTCTGGGGACCCCCCAAGCACTGGAACAGGCATGTCTGCTGTGCCAGGTACTTGCCTTCAATTGCCCTCAGTCTCTGCTCCCCAGGGGAGGTGACCCCTGCGTGGATCAGGAAAGACTCCGTGAGCCCACCCTCAGTGTCCCTACCCCCATGGAGGAGCACGGTGTGAACTGACCCAGGTCACAGGGCCCCCGTCACTGTCCAGTGCTGACCCTTTCTTCAGGACAGCCTAACTGGGTGTCTCCCTCCTTGTCCTCAGCATCAAGCGGCTGCTCATGTCCCAGGCAGACAAGATGACTGCAGAGGAGGTTTGGCCCCTCGGCCCCCACCCCACCTCCGTCCCCCATGGCCCTCAGAACTCAGGGGTTGGCTGAGCATGCGCCCTGGCCCTGAGAGGCTGTAGTGTTGCTGAGGGTGGGACACCCCATGGCTGAGCCCAGCCCACCCCTCACCCCCACAAGCTCAGAAACAAGACTGGAGCCAGCTGGAGTTCAGGGCCTGTCATTCGCTCTCGGGCTGCAGCCCTTTGGCCCCTGCCCTCCTGCCTGGCTGACCCTCCACCCTGTGCACAGGTGGACCAGATGCTGCAGTTTGCAACCATCGACGCTGCTGGCAACCTGGACTACAAGGCGCTGAGCTACGTGCTCACGCACGGGGAGGAGAAGGAGGAGTGAGGGCTGCCTCCTCCCCCACCTACACTGTGGCCAGTTCAATAAACCTAAACCCACAAACCTGCCTGCAAGTGTCTGTGGGGAGGTGGACGTGTCCACCTGGGACAGGAGGGCCTGGGGGACATCTGCCTGTGGGACCCCCCATCAGCTCCCCACAAGCCCAGCATGGCCCACCTGTCAGCACCCAGGCTGGGGGTCTGGTCATTTGGGGACTGGAGGTTGAGCAAAGCTCTGGAAAAGCCCTGCCCACACCTGTGCACTCCAGACTGACATCTAGGGGCCCTCAGGACCCCCAACCCACCCAGCTCCCCATCAGCATGTCTCCATATGCTGTCCCTCAACCAGTCACCCTTGGTCTGGCATGGCCACTGGGCCATCCTGCGTGTCTGCTACAGTCCCTGTGGCGTCTGTAGGACACTGACGTCCACCAGGGACAGGCTCTAGGAACGAGCTGCTCCTGGGCTTCCCGCAGCATCCGTGCCGGGGCCCTGGGGGGGCCTGGGCGGGCCCTCAGGGGGGCTCTGCTGGCCGGGTGCGTGGTCCACAGTGGCCGGACACTCGCTCTCCTGGATGGACGGGCTCATGTGGGCTTCGGCCCGCAGGCGCCGGTAGGGGGGGTGGAAGAAGAGCACCAGGCAGCAGCTGAAGACGGTGCACAGGCCGGCCATCAGCAGCACGGACACTGGGGACACAGCCAGCTTTGCCTGAGGCTCACGTCATGGGACCCTGCGTGGCCAGAGCCAGCAGAGCCCCAGCTGACCCACTGTCCATGACCAGGAACAGACCCCGCCCAGGCCCCAGCGGGCCCCGAGGGTGTGTGCACAGACCACAGTCACTGGTACAGGCTCCCACTGGCAGGGTCTCGGCATGGTGTCCCATCCCCACTCCCGTCTCTCACTGTCTCTCTGTCTCTGTCTCTGTCTGTGTCTCCCTCCCTCTTTCTCCTCCTGTCTGTCTCCCTCCCTCTCTCATCTTTTTCTTTTCCTAATCTCATTTTAAAATGACTCACACCGGGTTAAAAGGGTCTTAGGGCTGCTCCCACCCTCCTGAGCCAGGGGTTCTGCCTGTGGCCTCTGACCCCATCCTGCCCACCAAGAACAGCAAAAGGGCCCATGGAGGTAGGTTCCCAGGGCTGGAGCAGGTGGAGGCCCTGGTCGGCCCTCTTCCCTTGCATTCTCAGGCTCCCCATGTCCCTGAGGGCTGACACTCACCCTTCCAGTCCAGGGGATCCTGGCCACCTTGGCAGGTGGAGAAGGACGGCTCCACACGGGGCACAGTCAGGGCGGTCAGCAGCACCATTATGAGCACACCCTCGGCCTGCCTGGACACAGCCACGAGGCCCTCAGCCCGGACACTGCTCCCCGCCCAGTGTCAGTGCTCTGGTCATCGTGGGCCCCCGCAGCCCGCCCAGGCCTGTCCACAGCGGGTGCTCGGATCACGTGAGCCTTGCCAGAGCAGGCAGGTCGCCACTGTGTGGCCTGGGATGGTGAGGGGAGGGCTGATGGGGTCCCCAGGGCGCGTGGTGGGTACACTCACCCCAGGATGAACACCAGACCTGCGGCCGCGCCCTCGCCCACAGGGAAGGAGCACTCGACCGCCAGCTCCATGGCGACAGGCGCCACCGAGAAGCCGAAGAGCCCGAGCAACGAGCAGATGGCAGCCAGGGCGACTGCCTGTCCCTGCAGCTGGGACACCTGGCGGCAAACCCCACCGGAGCCGCCGTCACACGCCACAGCCCGGACTCAGCCCCACCAGGCCCCGCACCAGCACGTGCCCAGGGTCCACCTCAGCAGGCAGGGCCTGGATTCTGTTCTGGCTGGACTGCCAGTTGTCCACCCCAGGAGCACCCAGTCCCCCTGCAGTGTGGTCTTGGCTGGAGGAGACACTTACCAGGGCAAAGGCCACACAGACCACAGAGGTCAGACAGAAGCCAATCTTGATGGCTTCCGTGAAATGCTTGGTCCGGTCCACGTACAGGCCAAGAACCAGCGCCCCCAGGATCCCAAACACGATGAAGAGAGCCCCACAGAGGCCTGCAAACTCCTGGAGGCAGAGAGGAGGCAGGGGCACCCGTTATCAGGGCACTGTGCTACCAGGGACCCAGGAGACGGCGAGGACACGTGCCATCACCAGGGAGCACACGGCAGGGTCACGGAGCCATGCCGAGGCCCAGGCAAAGTTGCACAGCGGGCTCCCTGCACCATTAACTGTGCATAGATCAGGGGTGGCATGTGCCCCCTGGAGGTGCCTCTTTCCCATGTCATGCCTGCCCCGGGAACTCAACGTGCTAAAGGGAAGAGCCTGGTTGCTGCGGATGCCCCTCAGTCCTTGAGCCCCTGAGGAGGTGGGGACATGCTGGGTCCAAACCCCACTCCCGGGGCCAACGCCAGACAGCAGAGGGCACAGCTGTCAGCAGACCAAGGCTCTGCTCTCTGCAGTGCAGGGGGAGGAGGACCCTTCCCCGGAGCCCGCAGGCCGTACAGGGCGTGGGGGGCGTTGGGACAGAATGAAAGCACCCCACCATTCCCAGTACCCTGAGCACGGCCCACCCCGCCCCATGGCCCAGCCTACCATCTGTGACCAAGTTGGCATCTGACACTCTTGGCACGTCAGTAGTGCCCGTCACAGGAGGTCACCCTGTCCAGGCGTGGACACCCAGGGCTTGGGGAGACCACGGGCCACTCCACGGCCACACACAGGAGCCAGAGGCAGACAGCCTGCGGGCGTACGGGCTCCCAGCCCCGTCCCTGCGTGGGCCCGGGCACGGTGGGCGACGGGCTCCCAGCCCCGTCCCGTCCCTGCGTGGGCCCGGGCACGGTGAGCACTCACGTTGGAGTAGCCACTGGCGCAGAGGATTTGCTGCAGGAGGGCCGAGAAACTGGTGAAGATGCCGACACCGCCCCCAAAGCACAGAGCCAGGACCACATAGGCCTTGTTCCTCAAGAGCTGGAGAGGAAGGGCCACTCAGCCCAGAGCCCCCGCAGGGCAGGCAGGGCTCCCACAGGGCCCAGCCCACCCTCTTCCCCTCCTGGCCGCCTCCCTGCCCCCAGACCCTCCCCAGCCCCGGACCCCACAAAACCCACCAGCTTCAGCCCATCCAGGAACTTCTCCGAGGTGGAGTGGGCTGCCCCTGCGGAGGGTGGGGTGGGCGGCACGCTCTCCCAGAGGCAGGCGGTGGCCAGCAAGCAGGCCAGGCCAGCAGGGATGACGTAGATGCCCAGCTGGGGAGGGGGTGGCGTAAGGCCCGTGTGTGCATGTACACGCAGGCCCCTCAGACGCATGTACATGCACAGGCTCCTCAGGGGGCTGCTCTGGACTCCTGGCCACCCTCCCTGGCTCAGCCCCCACCCCTCAGCCTGCCCCTCATCTCCCTCCCTGGCCCCCCACAAATGCCCTCTGCCCCAGCCAGCCTCCCTCCTCACCGAGGCCTCTCCCCACCCAGGAACGCCTCCGACACCCTGGTCCCTAGAACCCTGCCTGACGCTGAGAAGATGCTCAGGACCGCACACACGGAGAAATCCATAAATACCCCGTGCTCCGAGGGCACTGCCCTGTGGGCACAGGAGGGGCACGAACACACTCGTGTACTAGAGCCCACCAAACGCATGCACACATGTGCACACACCAAACATACACACATGCGTGTGGGTGCACCCACGAGCTCCCTCACCACCACAGGGATGTCATCCTCCTTCTTCACCAGGGCAGGCGACAGCACACTGGCCAGCAAGATGCCCAAGGGGTTTGCTGGGTGGATGGACAGAGACACGTCAGCTCAGCCACGGCCTGGCCTGGCCTCAGCCGCAGGGGAGCCCTCGCCCTCCAAGAGCAGAGAGGTACCGGGACCCATCCCCCGAGCCAGAGGCGGCCGCTGGCCTCACCCCTCAACTCACCCATGGTGCCGATCATGTTGGCCATGGCTCGCTGATGCTCAGGGAACCACAAGGCAGCCAGTTTGGCCGGAGAGAAGATGACCAGGGTCTGGGCCAGGGCACAGAGGCTCTGGCCACCCATGAGGAAGGCAAACGGGTACTGGACCTCAACAATTATGCAGGGCAGGGCCCGGAGTGCGCTCCCAGCAAAGTTCAGCCACGCACACAGGACGGTCTGCGGGGACGAAGTCAGGAGCCTCTGCCTGGCCGGCCGGGATGCCCTTCCAGCACCACCCGGGTGACTCTGCTTGGGAACCCTGCACTGGGGCGGGGGTCGCGGCTCTCCAGCCCTCAGGGACCCTGCCCCACCCGAGTGGGCCCTGCTGTGGGGTCTAACTCACCGCCCAGCGGAGCCCAACTGAGTCCAGAACCCAGATGGCCACCACGCCACACGGGATGGACACCACGAGGTAGACCAGTGAGAGCCAGTTGACCTGGTCAGTGGACAGGAGGAAACGCTGAGCGACGATGTCGGCCACGGGCGCGAAGCTGAGCCACAGCTGTGGGACACATGCTGGCGTCAGCCCAGGGGCGGGCACCACAGCCACCCGCTGTCCTGGGCTTGGCCAGCCAGCAGAGAAAGTGAAAGTGTCCAGCAGTCCCGTAATGGCCCGGTCTTCTGGCCATCCCTGAGGAAGACTGCCAGGTGGAGGGGGTCAGGCAGCACGCTGACTGTGAACAGTCCCATCTTTGCAGGTGTGGTCCTGGGGACAGCCGGGGGCTGACAACCTGGCCAGAGCCTGCAGGACTATCAGCCTGCCAGGACTGACCCTCCCAGGAAAAGGCCCGAGGGCTGTCGGGGGAGGTGGACCTTGGCACATGTTGTGCGGTGTGGCCGGTGGGCACTGGGCACGGCTGAGCACGGAAGCGGAAAGAGGTGCTGGGGTGGGGGAGCCAGCAGCCCTGGCCCCCAGGCGCGTGGACAGGCTGGACAGAGGAGCACGTCTGTGGTGGGTGTCCAGGTGGACAAGGGCAGGAGGCAGGGTGGGCTAAGAGCTATGGATGGCCAAGTAGAAGAGACAGTGGAAGGAATACTGGGGGTGGGGACAGAAGACAGCCCAAAAGCCTGTCTGCAAATTCTGTCCCAGGTGGAAACAGCTGGATTGTGTGGGGGCCCTGCCCAAGGCCAACCCACCTCCCCCGTAGGAGACACAGGTGTTGGGGAGGTGAGAACCTCCGGAAGCAGGAGACATTTCCCAGCTGTAGGCGCTAGGACACGTGTTCACTGAGCAGACCTCCAGCAAACAGGGAGGGCAGCTGGAGGGGAGGCTTCCTGAGGAAGTGAAACACCACCGGGTCCCTGCAGGGTGCGTGGGACGGGGGGGGGGGGGGGGGGGGGGGGGGCGGCTCGCCAAGGCTTACTGTGGGAGGGAGGAGGGAAACGGGCCAGGGTGTACAAAGAGGGTGTCGCAAATCCAAGTTCACGATCCTCCAGCTGGGAGAGGACCCAGGAGCTCGCCTCAGGCGAGAACCAAGCTTCCTGACTGAGAGTTCTGACTCGTGTGACAAGGACAGAGCAGGGGAGAGACCTCCCAGGTGCAGAAAGAGTCCCCAGGCAGGCCTGGTTGCCTCTGGCCCAGCCTGACCCAGCTGACCGGCCCTGCAGAGCAGAGCCCACCCCTCGAGTGCCTCGCCCTCACCGTGCCTCTCCCCAGAGCATGTGGCCAGCAGAGCAGGGACCAGACCTGCTGCCAACTGTAGCTCTGCCTCACATGATCACACGGCGGCCAAACGCCCGTGGGAGGCTGACATGGCACACGCGCTCCTCGGGCACATCCGGAGGTCAGATGCTGGTGGCCCAGTCAGCCTGTGGGCAGTCCTGCAGCCTAACCCATGAGCCAGTGGCCACGGGAGGGTCAGGGCTTCAGAAGAGGCCTCCCCAAGATGTGCCACTTTGCCATGCGTGTTATTTTGAGCTGAAGGCAACCGAGACCCTGCGTGCTCACAAGAGACTTACCTCTCCCTTAAAGAACTTAGAAAAGGGGCCTTACCCCAAGAAGAGTGAGCACCAGAGGTAACTTTACGTCCCATCTACAGAGCAGGGCAAACTTCTCGTTACTGGACAACTGCTCTTATCGTCCTGAAATGACCTTCCTCCCACTGGCGTCCTCAGGCACCTTGCTCACCTTAGCCCGGGAAACCCTTGCACCTCATCTTATCGTCTGTCTCTGTCTCATGTGTGTGGAGTTCCCACGGGTACATGTGGAATTAAATATGGTTCTTTTATCTTGTTAATCTGTCTCATGTCGATTTGATTGTTAGACCAGCCAGAAGAACCTAGAAGGGTGGAAGAAGACTCTCCCCAAACACCCCCTCTGCTCAAGTGCACTTAGATGCCTGTTCAAGGGACATGGGGGTGGCCCAAACCGGGGTGCAGAGGTGGAGAAAGGTTCACTCACTGAGCCTACCTATGTATAATGGGCTAGGGAAAGAGGAGCACAGGCCTCTGGGTAAAGCAACTCGGGGCTCAGGGGTGGTCTGGGGGAAGAGCAGGTTGGGGGTGCTAGGCCCCAGGAACTGGCTGATCAGCTCTCAGTGGCTGATGGGCTGGAGCTGAGGGCTGCCAGCAGTGGGGACAGAGGAGGGGGCAGATAAGGAAGGACTCTTGAGGGATCTGAAAACTGACTCAGGAACGCAGGAGCTTGGTCTGGGCACAGAGCAGAGGACCCTGTCCTGGGGGGTGTGGGAAGCAGGGCAGGAGCCAGGTGGTGAAGGCCGGACCCACGTGTGGGTTCTCAGAGGGAGTGGGGCGTCTGAAGGGTGCCCCCTTTCATCTGTCCGGTGACTGCTCCCCGGCCTGTCTCAGGAGGGCCATCCTTTGGAGACCACCACAGATCACAGGACCTGGGCTCAGCCAGGGAGACGTCACACCGGCCCTCGTCTCCCCAGCAACCACAGCCAGGAAAAGGCGCTCCGGTCCCAGGCCCCTCCGCGGCTGCAGGGCTCCCCGCCCCTGCGGCCCCACTGTGCCTTCGGGTTCCGCAGGTTCGAGCCCGAGCAGGCTGGCGCCCCGGGCGCACCAGGGCACCGGCGGGGGCGGGTCCGGGCTCCCGGGCTCCGCGCTGGGTCCCGGCCTCGGCCCCCGCCCCGCCCCAGGACCCCCCCCCCCCCCCCGTACCGTGGCATTGGAGCAGCTCAGCAGACTGACCACCAGCAGGAAGACCCAGCGGCGCGCGTAGGCGCGGTAGGCGCGCAGCTCGCCCGCGGCCGTGGCCGTGATCCCGGCCGCGCACTTCCCGTCCCCCGCCGGCCCCGCCATCGCCGCCGCGGGGACCACCGGGGCGTGGCCCGGGCCGCCTCGGAGGTGGGGCCGGGGAGCGCGGGGCGGGGGCTCCGGGCCAGTCCCCGCCCGAGGGACAGAGGTCACAGCAGCGCCGGGGGGACGGGGCCGGCGGAGAAGCTAGATCCTGCTCGGTCGTCGGGGGGGAAGTGTCTGCCACGAAAACGGGGGACAGTCCCCTCGCAGGGCCCCGCCGGCGCCGCCTCTGAGGCCCGCGCGGGACACGCCCACGTGGGTGGGCGCACGAGAGGGCGCCGCGGAGTCACTGCCCAGCAGGTCTGCATTTCCCGAAGTGGGGGCGGAGCCCTTCCCTGCCCCTCAGCCCGACTCCTGACGTCCCAGCAAGTCCCAGGGAGCCGCCGAAGGCCAGCCTGGAAGAGGAGGCCGAGTCCGTTCCAGGAGCGCGGAGCCGAGTCCTCGGGACGGGACGGGACGGGACGGGACAGCCTGGCGGAGCAGGAAGAGAGCGCCTGGCGGGCCCTCCAGGAAATGGGCGGCGGCCTGAACCCGGCCAAGAGCGGGGCGGGGAGGCAGCCTCCCACGCGGGTATTATCTGCAGCTGAGCAAACAGCTGAGCAGAGGAGGAGACACGAGTTTCTGTTTGTTTAAGAGACCCGTGGGCTGGAAGGCAGGGAAGAGGGGGTGCAGCTTGTCTCTGTGGGTGGCAGTCTCCTCTCCAGCTCCCTCCCCACCCAGCAGTCCACCTAGGACATCTCTCCCTGCTGTCCCAGTGCGACTCTTCCTGAGGTCGCCCATGGTGTCCCTAACTAACATAAGTGGACACCACCTGGGACCCTCTTGCCCAGATTCTGGGCCTCCTCCCCAGGCCGAGGGCTCCTACGTGGACCTCACAGCTCCGCAGGGTCGCAGATGCAAGGGCAACATGACGATCAGTGGACGTGGGACCCGAAGTTGAAGGCGTGCCATTTACAGTTACCTCACAGAAAATTAAGACCCTGTGTATAAAGTTGGCAAAATGTACATAGTACTTTAATGCTAAAAACTACACAACAAAACCCTAAGGACTGGAGGCATGCTATGCTCATGGCTTGGAAGACTCAACTTAGTCAAGACCTCAGATTGAGCTATAGGGTTAATGCAATTCTGTAGGCACAGACTGGGAGAAACAGTCACACACCACGCAGCCAACAAAGGACTGGTACCTCGAAGAGAGAAAGAAGCCGCAAAACTCAACAGTAAAAAACGACAAAGACGTGCCATTAGAAAATGGGCAAAAGACACAGAGACGGGTCACTGAAGGGCACATGCAGATGGCACGTGGTGATGAATGACACATCACTGGCCTTTAGGGGAATGCAAATTAAAACCAGGATGAGATATTGCCACACACCTTTCTGAATGACTAACATGGCAGCCCCTTTGGGGACCTGGGTCACTCACACACTGTTCTAGCCAGTGTGGAAAATAAAAAAATTTTGACTCACATAATGTGCAAAGTACATTCATTTGGAAACGATGGCTTTTTCTACTTTTAGTGAAAGTTTTATTTAAGTTCTGGGCCAGTCTCTTCAATATAAGCATCTAAGCTGTTCTCACAAATCCAGGTTGAACACCTTGCATAGAAGCCTCACCTGAGCCCAGGTGCATGTGCGCACCTTTGGGTCCAGCGCATCTTAAGGTCTTTTAGTGAAATTCAAATGAAAAACACCTACACCTTGCTTTTCAAATGATCTTTAAAGGCTTGTTTAAAATCAGCACGCACAATTATGGCTAAACCTGTTTCTATTTCTCTACCTCCTTTTCACTTAACCAGATATAGGCTCCTATCAGCACCCCAAAGTAGCACCAGCTGGGGCTTTTTCAGGTGAACGTGTCTTCCCTAAACAGTATTTGCTCAAAATTAAGCCACGGAGAGCCCTTGCTTTGCCAAGACCGGTGGAAAGACACCTTCTTTGCTGAGGATAAAGTCGGGACAGAAGTCTCACCGTATATGGCGAGGTGGTCGTGGCCCCAACCTGTTTGTTGGTTTTCACTTGGTTTGTATCGGCTCTTGTGAAGGGAATGTCAGCTATGTGGGCACAGGAGCTGGGTGTGTCCACATGTGACTGCTTGGGGCCAGCGCAGGGCTGTGGCTGCCAACAGAAGTGTGGGGGGTGAGTGACCTTCCTGCCTTGCGCCCCTCCCTGGCAGCACCCGCAGCCCCCACTGGCCTGTCTGGCAGGTTCTCCATCCTGCCCACCCCCATGCTGGGCCGCGCCTTCCGGACCTGATTCCAGAAGCACAGCCACCACGCAGTGTCCAGGTCTTTGCTCATACCTGCTGGTGCAGCTCGCCTCCGGGCTGAGGCTGTTGAAAGGCCATGCACAACATCACTACCAGCGGCGGGCAGCTGAGTAGGCAGGTCTGAACCTGGATTCTCAAAGAGGACATGTAACTTCCTCTTTCTCCGTCTAGAAGACCGATGAGGGACTTGTCCACAGAAAACGTTTTGCGGCCAGCTATCCAGAAAGAAGAAGGCTCTGCTCACTGTGGCCTGCGCCCCGTGCCAGAGGGAAGCCCCTGGGGTCGCCCTTCTCCTCTTTCTCCCTCCGGCATTGTCCAAGGAGGCCAGCACAGGGCTCACATATACCCCAAAGTTGTGCAACAAGTACCTGGAGCCCAGATGGCTGGCCCCTCCCACTGAGGACCCTGTGGTCCCATCTCTACTGCTCAGACCTATTCAGCCTATGAACATAGAGCTGGTTATCTCACTGTTGTGTGTGTGTGTGAGTGTGAGTGACTGTGTAGTGTGAGATGGGCACTATCTGAAGTATGTGTCTGTGGGAAAGAGAATGAGGACGGGGGAGGGAGGAGTATCTGACGTGGGTCCTGATCGTCACCTGTTTGAGTACCTGTCTGGTGTGAGTAGGTATCCAGTGTGTGTCCAGGGTGTGTTATGTGCAGCTGTATGGGTTATCGGTATGTGTGGTGAGAGATGGGGCTCTGTCTTGGTGTGTGTATGGGTGAGATGGTTATCTGATTTTTCTGTCTAAGTGGGAAAGCGTGCGTAACTAATTCTTCGGTGTATAATGTGAGAATTGTGTTGGCTGTGTGCATGTCTGGTGTTAAATCAGAAATTGTGAAGAGTGTGAGGTTTCGCTCTATTGCAAGTTAGGGAAGTAGCCTACCACAGTCCCCATGTGTGAGTTCCCAGGACACATGAGGCCGGGCCAGAGGCAAAGGGCAGCTGTTACTCAAGGGCAGCCATGTGGCATTTGGTTCCTCCAGCCCCGACTCCACGGTTGTGTGGGTGGCCCCTGCTCACGCAGTAGGCTGTGTTTCAGAAGAACCCTGACATTAGGGAACTCACCCATCTGTCTTCTAAAGAGAGAAGCCTTCTCTTTACTCTGGATCGTAAGCATATGTCCTCCAGGGAGGAAAAGGAGGGGTCCTTTTCCTGACCCCCCTGGACTATCTCCGAGACCAACATACTAAACGTGGCTGTGAATGACCGCTCCAAGGAGGAGGACAAGCAGACACAGAAAAACGAGGTACCATGGACAACTACTTCCCAAGAGGACCTACTTTTTTTTTCTTTTTCTTTTAATGCTTTTATCTTCAGATAGAGCAGGAGGGAGAGAGGGAGGAAGAGAGAGAGACATCGATGTGAGAGAGATACATCGACTGGTTGCCACCCACACGACCCCAACCAGGGCTGGAGACAAACTGCAACCAAAGTATGTGCTCTTAGCGGGAACCGAACCCGGGTCTCTCTGGTCTGCGGGCCTACGCTCTAACCGCTGAGCCAAACCAACCAGGGCAGGACCTACTTTTAAAGACTATTTCAAGATGGGCATCTGTTTTTTATTGTGTGTGAATATGTCATGATTAATCTTTTAGCTTAGTGCTGTGATGTAGAAAATAAGTATCGTGTGTGTGTGTGACATGAGTGTCTGATTTACTTGTGTAAAGAGTGAGGATGTCTAACTTTGTTCTCTATATGGTTGAAATTTTATGTCACTTTTCTGTCTGTTGTGTGGCATGAAATTCTGTGAATGGTAGGAGATAGTTAACACATTTTTCTGGAAACAGGTGTCTATGTTTGTGTGTGTGGAGTGATCGGGAGTCAATGTGTCCCTATGCTGGAAGTTGAAGATCTGGTATTTTGTATATGATATGAAATAGATACCTCGTTTTTGGTATGTATAATGGGAGAGAGTAGCTAACCTTTCATTTTTGTGTGTTTGCAATAAATAACTTTTGTGTGTGGTGTAAGATATTTATGCATAGATGTTTGTATTTATGGTGTGAGTTAATTATCTAATGTTATATTTTTCCCTTGGGGATATACATGTAGCATTTTCATTTTTTTATCAGTTCTAAATATTTTGTAGTTCTCTTTTTATTTATTTTTTAATATGTTTTTATTGCCCAGCTGATGTGGCTCATTGGTTGAGCGTCGACCCATACACCAAAAGGTCGTCAGTTCAATTCCCATTCAGGTCACATGCCCAGGTTGTGGGCCTGGTCCCCAGTGGGGGGCATGCAGGAGGCAGCCAATCTGTGTTCTCTCTCATCGATGTTTCTATCTCTCTCTCTTTCCTGTCCTCTCTCAAAAAATCAATGGAGAAAAAAATATTTTTAAATAAATAAGTAAATATGTTTTTATTGATTTTTTTAGAGAGAGGAAGTGGGGGGAGATAGAAACGCGGGTGTGAGAGACAAGCATCAATCTGCTGTCTTCTGCATGCCCCTTCCTGGGGGTCAAGCCCACACCCCAGACATGTGCCCTGACGGGGAATCGAACTGGGACCTCTCAGTCCATGGGACCACACTCAATCCACTGAGCCACACCAGCTGGGCTATAGTTCTCTTTTTAAAATAACAGCTATAGCCCTGGCCGGTTTGGCTCAGCGGTTGAAGTGTTGGCCTGCAGTCTAGCGAGACCCGCATTCAGTTCCTGCTAAGGGCATGTACCGTACCTTGGTTGCAGTTTGTTCTTGGCCCTCCTTGGGTCGTGCGGGTGGCAACCACTCCAT